ATAATAATAATTTTGCGGATTCTGTTTTCCTCCGTTATTCCTTTCCTTTAGATGTTCATGCTTACAAAAACACACAGATACACACGCAAAATAACATAAACACAGTCACCATCAGCACAGGGTAAGATGGGGCCTGTGCAAAGGAAGGTTGTGACCAGATCCCCGGCTCAGGGACAGCAGCGAGGTTATTTCTCTGGAGAGTGCAAATCTCTTTGAAGTTATCACACCCAAAAATTCGATTTATGCAGCAATATTTCAAGGAAGAGTGATGACATAGAATTCAATATATATATATATATATATATATATATATATATATATATATCCAGCTTCCTCTTTGTTACCCCCAGAACCTATCTTCCCAATCAGACAAAATAAGCTCAACCTTGACAAATCTCTCCCTGCAGCCAGCGCTTGCATCGACACGCAGATTTTCCTGGCTGGGAATTTGTAATTACTTTCTGAGTTTTGAAGAACAGATTAAACGACTATATATGTATCTGAATATTACCATCTGCAGCTCTTTCTGCTGACTGATTACTGTGAGTTATTAAAAGAGTTTTCCTGTGCTCCTGTGTCCTTTGTGACGCATGTCAGCTCAGGCAAATGACTGAAAAATAGAAAATCTGAGCTTCAAAGAAAATGAAGCCAAGTGTGTGGTAGAATTCAAGGAAAAATTTTAAGATATCTTGGGGGAGAAGAACTTTAAAAATACATTTTTCCAAGGCAAAATGATAGCAGCTTTTAATGTTAGCACACAGATGCTAAAATACATTTGACCAGAAGTCTTCATAAAATGCAGCATTTGTAGGTTTAACATTTGAGCTTTAATAATTTGAATCACAACTGATAGAAATAATCTGTGAATATCCCTTAAGGGCAAAATCCTTTCTCTTCCACTGGATTGAAACGGACTTCTGCTAGACCAAGGGCACAGTTTAACGGTCACTATGGTAACCATCTTTTTCATTTATTGTAGCATCCAAAGAAGGTACATGCTGTTTACAGAGGAATGACACAGTTGTTCTAGACTTTAATAAACTTCTTCTCCACGCTTCTTACAGATTTCTATCATATCTACAATCTTAGTTATTAAGCATGTGAGACGTTCAGGTTTTCCTAAAGTCCTACAGATATCTCTTTATATTAATTCTGTCTGGCAACTCCCACTGCACAAGACTTTGTGTTTGGAAAGTACATTCTGATCAGTTCTGTTTATCTTCTCAATATCTGCAGGGACACAGCGACCGCGGGGCTGGTATGGAAGGAGTCTGCCGGCCTTCTGGGGAGACTGCACGACAGGGATCAGAGGTGAGGAGAACAGAATATCTTGTCACAAAGCTGTGGTGAAAGGGTCACAAAGGCAAAGGCGAGAGCAGATTATTGCAATCCAGGGAAAGCGTTAGAGCCGTCACTCCCGAGTATGGAGAATAATACAGCTTGGCATCAGAGAGCTTCGTGTGCTATGTACTGGGATAGGTATTTTGCACCCTTTATTCTTGAAATCTCACAATGCCTGTGTAATACGTAATTACCGCCATTTCCGGACAGTGATGGAAGCTTTATGAAACATTTCTTGATTGGAGACTGCTGCTGCTCAGTAAGGGATGACCGTTGTCAGCCCCATACTCTCCAGGAACGTGCTAGCTGTCAGGCAAATCAAAATAAACCACCTAGTCCCTGCCTCAGTTTCCTCATCTGCACCATGTGGCCCAGAAGCTGTGTTTAAGAATAGCGAATATTTGCACAGCATTAATAATATATAGGTGCTAAGTGTTTGACATAAATTAACTCATTAAATTCACTCAACCCTGGGAGATGAGTACTACCATCATTGACCAAATGCAGGCACTCAGAGGTAGAGGCTGACCGCTGCACCCAAGGTTCTGGTCCTTGCCATTGGCAAAGCCAGGATTGGAACCCAAGGAGCCTAACTCGAGGGAAAACAGTCGTGCTACATAGTTCAGCAAGGCCTCAAACCTACTCTGTGGCCCAGGCTGGGCTCAAACTCATGGCAATCCTCCTGCCTCCCACTCCTGAGCACTGAGATTATGGGTGTGCACCACCACAAGGCTCCCCATCAAGTAAGGAAAAGATTCCAGACACAAAATTCGCTTAGTTGAAGCTAATGCACTAATTACCTTATGAATGTAGCTTCCAACAGGGCCGTTCCTACTTATGAGTCTCCATTCTTGTTCTGGGGGACTTTTCAGACTCTTAGGGTAGGGAAGAGAGAACATCTTAGCCAAGGAGTCCAGGAAAGGACCTCTGCCCGAGTCACCTCCCCTGGCCAACTCAAACTACAAAGGCCCAGGCCTCCCTTCAGAGAGGTAGGTGTGTGTGACTTCTTGTGACATGGTCTCACTACGAAGTTCACGCTGACCTAGAGCTCACTCAACAGCCCAGCTGGCCTCAACCTCGCAGCAATCCTCCTGCTGCAGCCTCCTGAGTGTTGGGACTATAGCCTTGTTCCTTTGGTCTTGAAGCAATGACTCCCCTTTGCCTAGGCCTGCAACCTCTCAGCAGGCAGCCCTATTTATACACACATCTCACTCCACAAATGACTGTATCTGAGGGATGGTGTCGCCTGCAGTCATGTATCAGTGTAACAGGTAATTTTGGGGCACAGATTTAAGACAATTTCTTCTACCTTATTTACTCTATTTAAACAAAATGTGATTAGTAAAATTATTTTAAATATGTATTTCCTCTAGGAAATATTTCCCATTTTTTCTCATAAAATGAACGACAATGATTTGCAAGTCCCAGATGGATGGAGAGGAAATTTTTTTATTACAATTGAAATTGAATTCATTCATTATAAATCAGATTGGATAATGCTATTCAGAGCTTCACATTTCACCTGGAAATCTCATTAACAAGATTGCTTCTTACAAATTAATTTCCTGACCTATTTCTGTATAGAATTGAAACTAGACTCATATTTGTTCTAGAGATGTCTGAGCTTGAAACTTTGGGATTCTATGTAATGTGATAATACATGTAAATCTAAATGAATTTTTAAATTAAAAATGACAAATCCTTGGAGCGAGTCTTTTGAGGAATGTGTTACCCTCACATGACAGTACGGGGTCCTGTTCCCTCATAACCCTCCCTGCGAGGGAACTTTTCCACTTACCTAACACTGCGAGGCTGTGATTAAGGAACCCTCGGGAAAACTGGCTTCTTCGTGAAGTTCAAGGTGTTAAAACTAACAAAAAACTGTCACCAATCACACAAAGCAAGACTTCCTGAAGTGTGAGCCAGACAGCAACACTTGCCCAGAGCTTCTATTTAATCCATGCAGAGGTGTAGATAAAATTCCCTTTGTGGTAATTATGAAGCCTGCAGACTGTGTCCTGCTGTGGTGCCACTTAAGCTGGGACTGCAACTAGGTTTGGAAGAGGGACACAGGGCGGCCTGGCTGCAGGGCTTGCAGCAGTGCCAGGTCTGAAGATACCACTGGGGTGGGCATGAAGGTGGTTTCTCACGGGGTTCAGTGTGGGCCAACTCATCACCAAGTCCTCTAGGTTAAGGACCAGGAATGGCCCGCCACTGCGGCAAAAACGAGCCAGGGGCTGGCTAGATGTCGTGCAGAGAGGACGGCCCTGGGGTCCCCACCCAGGCCTGGGAGACATTGCAACTGAACGGCCCTCCACCTCCCCCTGGAGGCCTCAGCTGCAGCTAGGAAAATGGGTGAGATGGGCTAGGGCCTGCAGTGCGCTTCCTCTCCGCAAGCCGCACCCTCGTCAGTTCAGCAGGATGTCTCCAAGCACACTTTTGTTTCCCATGTCCTATTGCCTGTCACAGTTCTGCTCTGACACTGTGCTTTCTTTGGAAACTTAACTACACGCGTACTATGCATCTGCAGGGTTCCTACCCGAGGCACCCCTCCAGAGTCCCCTCCTGATGTGCGCAGTGGCGGTCAAGTGTCCACAGCAGAGCTGAAGCCTCACAGCCAGTGAGCCATCCTCCCCAGGAACTTCAGGAGGGTGGGAGCAGCGGGGTCCCCAGTCCACAGTGTGGGGTCCGCAACTGTACCCAAAATCCTGTTGTTTTAGGCGACTCCCATTCTCGTGCTGCTCTGCAGAAAACGTCATTCCTTGCCACCAAATGATCACCAATCCACACAACATCCTATTTTTTAGTTGCTGTGAGAGAGGATTTATTTAATAAGTGCAAGGGAGGAATGAACATAAAATCATTTTTGTGACACTGGAGACTGCTCCCAGGGTACCTTGCAGAGCCACACCCCTAGCCCTTCATTTTCTATTTGTCGGAGACAGGGTCTCACCACACTAGTATGTTGTAGTCTGGGCTCAAACTTGCCATCACCCTGCCTCGGCCTCCGAAGTGCAGGTCAACACAGCTGGTTCAAGCTTATTTTTAAAGCTGGTCCCAAACTGATTATTTCCTGGTGTGGGCACATCATGGGAATTAGGCCAGGAGAGGCGTCCTCTCTGTTGTCAGCCATCCCGGCTTCTCTGAGATGCATTACAGCCTCTGAGCTCTGACAGTCCGCAGAGAATAAGAGCAGATCATACTAAGGCTCCGTTTTGGGGCTCTTACAGGATGAAAGGAAAATTAATTTCAGCTCAATGCATTCAAAGCACTTTCAGCGTTTTGAGTTCAGTAAGCACACGCTGCCTGGTGACTACTACTGATAAAATCCACGGCCGGACTTGAGTGTCTGTGCGTGGTGAAACGTAAGGGTTGGAGTAAAACAGAGTTCATTTCCAGTCGCAGCCTCCAGGGCCTGGGAGGAGATCCGATCCAGGCGAGGCAGGTGTCGCCCTTGACTTAAAACAAGTGCACAGCCACTGACGAAATGAAGTAGTGCGCCTGATCACGCAGCTGGGCTCTTTGCCCGACTTAACCCACAACGCTTTTGCTTTAAAATACACACACTTTAGCACCCCCAGGGTTACCACAACACCAGCAAGCCAAAGAATACAGACTCTCATTAGAAAATCCCCCCTTCCCACTCCCCTCTTCCCTCTGCACTGTGGACTGCAGGGCTCTTGGGCCACTTTGGCTCCATTGCTCAAACACCCGTGCTGACCAGGAATCCGAAACCACGCTGTCTGGGCCTGTCCTCTCTTGCCCATTCCAGCCATTTCTCAGGTTTCCCCTTCTTTCTTCGGGAAACCATGTAAAGCATGGGGCGAAGGGCTGAGGAGCGGCAGACTGACACGGGCGCCACAGCGAGGCCCGTGGGGGGCACCGCCAGCCCTGCAGCCTTGTCTCCCCACGCCCCGGAACACTCGCATGGCATCACCACCCTTGTGTGCTGCCTCAGGGCTCTACCCTGACTACTTCACCTGCTGAGACGCCTCTGTGCATTAGACTCGGTAAGAGTTGGAGCTTTAAAGTTACACATCACAACCATGCTCCATTTCTAGACTAGGAGAGGCATGAATGACAGGAAACTGCTCACGTCTAACAGCAGGCTCTGCAGCATGCAAGTCACCGGGACATCACTATGGAAACCAAGTGGCAGCAGCAGGTAGTGCCAGTGACGCAACAGGTGGCACTCATCTTCATGCCAACACCTCTAAGCACCTAGACACGACACCAGGCAAACATCATATTGTGGCAGCTGGGTGTTTAGGCAGTGCCTAAAGTGACAGTTCCCTGAGCAACAGTGCAGTGCGCCCTGAGATCAGCCACACTTCAAGCGGAGAGAGACGGCTCAGCAGCCGGCAGCGAGAGGAAACGATCCCCTAACTGAAATGCTTATCATTAAATTAGAGCCAGTGCTTTTATTTATATACAGAGTTCCCAAATCAAAGGTAAGAGGCGACCACGCCTGAGGACCAGGACACCGCGTGCTACTTCACCACTGCGACCACGTGCTTCTTCCTTTCCGACACCACTGGCACAGACCCCGGCCTGCTGTGCTTCCGACGGTTCAGCTCCCTGGAGAGAGGGTAGAATGAGGACGATGATACAACAGCCACCTAGTCAAAGCACCCTCTGTTCTTGCCATAGGAAAACTATGCTTTAAATGTTTCTTACAGGAACCGGTACAAGGTAGCAATTGAGTAGAAATCAACTTTTGTTACTCACTTCATTGCTGTCTACTACCTAGCAGTTTTCTTTACCAAGTTCAAGTCTGCACAATTGCTGACTCAATCCTGACATCTACCCAAAGGCAACAGCCTATTTTTAAAAGCAGAGCCTTGACTTCATGTTTCTGTAACACTTTGCGTGCACCCAAGCGCTCCAAAGAGAACACTCCTCAAGAGACTCGGAGAAGGAGGCGCTCTTCACATGCAGTGTTGGCACTCTGCTGGCGGGGGAGTGCCGCCATCCCAGCTACTCCGGACGGACGCACGCTGAGCCAGGAGGGTCACTGGAACTCAGGAGCTTGGGACAGGCTCAGCAACATAGCCAGACTCCATCTCAGCAAAACAAAAACATGAGATCTCAAATGTGGTGACGAAATGTACTTTTAGAAATTTACTTAAGAAATGTGCACTATGTATAAATTCTTCAAATTCTTTCACTTAAAAAATTCTTTCACTTAGAAAATATGCACTATCAAAAAAAAAAAATACGCACTATCTTATACTACCTTAGAAATCATTTTAAGGGCCAGCCAGACAGCTCAGTGGATTAAAGCGCCCTCTTGAGTAGATGCAGGGACCCAGGTTTAAACCCTAGTGTGCTGTGCCGGCCCCACCTCTGGGGCACACTGAGATGGAGATTGAGACTGGGCATGTGCCTGTAATCCCAGCACTTGGGAGGTTAAAAACAGGAGGATCACTACAAGTCCAATCTGTGTTGTGAGACCCTGTCTGTAGATCCTATACTAAACACATTAAGAAAGGAAAAAAAATCATTTTAAAATTTCTACTTGCAATAGTTGCTATTATATATAGTCTGCTAATTCACTTTAAATACAATGAATGTTTTCTTAGTCTGCTAATTCACTTTCACCACTAATCCTTTAGCCCTATCCTCAGAAGTGAATGCAGGAATTAACTCTCACACTGCAGACTGCTCCTGCTTTCTTCTCCTAGCAAATTGGTCCAAGAAGCAGCTCTGCCCACAGCAGCACAGCGCTGCTCCCTGGAAGGTTCCCCGTGGGCCCGAGGGCCTAGAGCAGGGGCCAGTGCGCTGACGCCCCACCATCCCGACACCCAAGGCGTACTTGCGCCGGCGCGCCTCTCGCATGATGCGCTGCTCCTGGATCTGACTGTAGAGAGACTTGGGCAGGTGCCGGTGCCGAGCGATGCGTTTGATGTTAGGGTGGTGCTGAAATTTCTCCTTCAACTTCTGGTTATATTCCTGGGCCGCTCTTTCCCGGGACGCAAGCTGAAAAGCACACATTGGAATCTGAATGAGGAGGGTGCTCTTTGCTTTCTTTCCATACAACAAAGCCAGGCGCTGCCCACTGCACGTAAAGCTAAAACGAGGAGGACACGCACCCAAAGTTTCCAAAGTGCTGCACCAAGCAGAGTCCTGTTAGGGACTCATCCTGCACACAACCTCCAGCCAATGCCACCAAATAAGTATAGGCAGGTGAAGCCAGGCTGCAGCGCTGAGGCGAAACAGAAAAGCTCGGATTCATTTTCTTGGTAAAAATAATTATGCAACAGAAAAAAGTACTGGATTCCATAACAACTGGTTAACAAATATTGAGTATGATGCAAATTATAGGAATATTTAATGAAGAACTAAAACCTAGACATAGTGCAATACTTACCAATCATTAATTGGAACTAGAATTGTTATTCGTTATTGCTTAGTATACCTTAATTTTTTTTCTACCAGAGCTAATTAAAAAATAGTTCACACTTAATCTTCCTTCTTAAATATTTTCCCTGATGTAAACATTATGTGTTTCTCATAAAAAATGCAGGACAGGGCCAGTGAGATAGCTAGCACACTAAAGCGCCTGCTTAAGCAAGCTTAGGCAAGTGCAGGGACCACAGTTCAGTCCCCAGCACAAGCTGCACCAGCCCTACCTCCAGGGTGGGCTGAGCTGGCCAAATCTGGGCCATAGTGGCACATGCCTGTAATCCCAGAGCCGGGGAGGCTGAAAGCAGGAGGATCACCACAAGCCCAGGCTGTGCAGTGAGACCCGGCAACAACCAAATACTTTTGAAAAAGCATAAACAAATAAAAAAATAAGCTATAATTTCACGGCCAGAGGAACCAGTAGGTAGCCAATGATAATATTCCCTGAATCCTTTTCAAATCTGAAGCCTGTGTGCTCAGTCTACAGTGTTTCGGTGTCTGCGCTGAGACACCCTCAGAGGGAGACGCAACTGTCACCCCCAGGGGCTACTCCTAGCAGAAAAGCAACATGCAGTTAGATCTAAGCATCTCATCCAACTCCTCCCTCCTGCTCAAGGAGACCAAAGAAGCAAAGAGGAGAAAATATCACCAATATCAGAATGAATAGTCTACAGGCGCCTTTCCCAAAAAAAGCTTTGCTTTGTTGTCAACGTATCTTGTCCTAGTGCCATCAATTTGATCAAAATACCTCAAGTACTTCAAATTGATCTCTTCACCACAGAACAAATGATACCTAATGAAATCTAAAACTTGCTTTATGAAAATCAAAGAAAATGGTTCCCTTACCACACCCAGCTTCTCAGAAGCGTTGGCCTTCCACAGGCGGATGTTCATCTCGTCAGAGCCGCACATGATGTACTTGCTGTCTGCTGTCCAGCGCACACAGATGACGTGTTGCATGCGCCTGGTGTGGTACACTTCCCTGCAGGGGAGGGGAAGTGGGACCTGAGGCTGAGGGCACAGGACTGCTCTGCCCATCAGCCACAGTGCCTGGCATAGGTCTGAGTTCTAAGACAAATTCAAATGCGCTTCAAGCTATTTTTATTGAATTCAACTAATAAGGTTCTATGCTAAGTGCTAATCAAGGAAAAACATTCCTGTCTGAAGAAAATTTATAATCCAGTAAGTGATCAAAACCAGATGCACAGAAAATTTCATTAAAGGAAAGAATAAAATGCAAATAAAGTATCATTTTTAACTAAATGAACTTGCATCCAGAAAAAAAAACAGCTTACTCTTAAATAAGTCCTCACCATGCCAATTAGGGTGAGCTCAACTGTCATAACTCACTTTTTTTTTCTTGGAACCGAGGACTGAACTCAGGCCCATGCGCTTGCCAGGCAAGTGCTTACATTTATTCTACTGAGCTATCTCCCTGGCCTAAAATTATTTTATTTATTTACTTACTTATTTTGTGGTACCAGGGATTGAACTTAAGACCTTCTACTTGCCAGGCAAGTGCTTATTCTATGGAGCTATCTCCTTGGCACAATCCCCTTTTAAACAGGGAAACAAAAGAGATGCAAAGTACTCAAAGAGCATATCCCAAAATGCGAACCTGACGTGATTTTTGCTTGGGCAAAAGCTTCACTGAAGGAAGGTGTGGTGATACACACCTGTTATCCCAGAACCCAAAGAGGCTGAGAGGAGGCACAAGTTCAAACCCACCCTCTCTCAAAATTGAAAGAAAAATAAAAAAATTTAAAAAGCTGGGAATGTGGCTCAGTGCAACCCCCCATGGGGGGGGGGGGTTACTGAAGTGAAAGTTGACTTGCATGTATGAAAAAAGGGAGGGCTCCCCAAGTGTGTGAGAAGCTGAGGTAAGAATCATTTAATAAAGGAACTGACAAATACCATGCCTCTTCGAGAAGACTCTGAAACTCGCTAAGTGAATTCACGAAAGACACTATCCTGGGAAGTGTTGGGAACACGTTAAAAAGCAAGTAAAAGACAAGGTCAGGAAAGTAACAAGACGAGACTTGTGGAGAAATAAACTCCCCAATCTGGATCACAGGATTCAGACTGCAGGCTTCAGGAGAGAAGGGCAACAGGCCCAAAAGACTATGTACAATAAAAGCAAGCCCAGAGCAGCCATCAAACAGGATCGACATCTGCGGAGGACCTATGCACTCATTCCCACCAGCCTGCCACACCAGGTGCTGCAAGCACTAAGAAAAAAACCCAAGAAACGTACTTTTTAAAAGGGGAGGATGGTTAGAAAGATCAGCCTACTACAAGGAAACCCAGATGAGACATAGTGCCTTTTGTCCTCCTCCTCAATGTTCTGTTAGTACAAAACTTGGAAGGCAGATGTGGTGGCCCACATCTGTGATCCCAGCACTTGGGAAGCTGAGGCACGAGGATTTCTGCAAGCTGGAGGGCAGGCTGGACTACATAGTGAGTTCAAGGCCAGCCAGGACTACAATCATAAAACAAAACAAAACAGCGCACCAAGATATGTAATTTCTGCCCTCTTACAGGCTCCTTTGGAGAGCAATATGAATTTAAATGTACAGAAATTTAACCAGGTTTCAGCAATATTAAAAACAATGGTTAGACCAGTCAAATCCAATGGTAAGTCATTTAACCAACTTAGAAGCCCAATGTACACGATGCAGAGTTCTTCTTGCTGATATGCATGCCAGATTTAGAAAACTCATTAAAAGTCACCAATACAAGGAGACATACCCATTTTAAAAAACTTTATTCTTTTTTTTATTTTAAAAACTTTGGTTCTTCATGTACACAGTCAAATTAATTTATCCATGTGAATACTATTGATTTTGTTTAGCAAATATTTAATGAAACCCACCTCCAAATACTGATTTAACAGTGTTTAAGAATTCACTTTAAACATACACTGTATTCTACTTAGTGTCTCTTGAAGGAAAACACTTAAACAGTGCAGATCTACCAGAGCTGCCCAAACCAAGTCAGAGTGGCTGTAACACAGAAAACGTGAGCAGGCCATGGAAACAAACTGGAACTGGCTTTCAAGTAAATGAAGGCAAAGGTCACTGTGACTAGCATTTTATGTAAATAGAAGAGGAAGCAACTCGGATTAGGACTGTGATTGCAAAACCTCCAAACCACAGAGGAGAAAACACAAGAGAATGGGACAGATGCAGCCCTGAATACCATTCTGGAAGGACATGAGCCAGAACTTGTAGCAGGACCTGACCGCTGGCTGGCTGGCCTTCCTAGCCCCACCTAAGCCAGCTGCGGGTCCTTGGGTCCCAGCCACACCAAGTCACTGTGTCTGTCTGCTTACTGTTAGAGTAGGCAAGCAGTACTCTTCTATCAACTTCAAGCTGGGGCAAAGCTGGCAAATTCCACTCTGCTCAAACTCTGGGACATGTGACCACCAAGGGACTATGGCCCAAAGTCACCTCCTTCTACCACACTCCTTGGAGGCCGCAGAACCCTCAGGAGGGCACCGCGCAGCCTGGCTACCAACTCCATCACCCCACTGCCCCAGCACAGACACTACCTCTCACCCCTGGCACAGCTTTTCCTTCCTTCCCACATCCTATGCCTTCTTCTCTTTCTTTCCTGCTACTTCCAATAATTCTATTACCTGCCACCAAGTCCACTTTCTAATTAAATAGAATTTTATTAGGCAAGATCAGGACACTCAACCAAGTTAGTTACATACAGATGTGCGTATCTTTAAACTATATTTTAGAGAAATTCATTTACATCATTCTTACATCTTTTAACACGTGGTTATTAAAGTGGAAGTGGCCCTATCTTGAAGCGTGAGGGACACCACCACAACCCTTTACCAGCATTCCTATGGGAAGAGCTGCTTCAATTTGGCTTGTGCTTGCATCCCAGGTCACCAAAGCGCTCTACATGGGGCTGGGCAGATGGCTCAGTAGAATAAGCACTTGCCTGGCAAGCACAAAGGCCTGAGTTCAATCCCTGGTTCCACAAAAAAATAAATACATAAAAAATTAAAAAGCGCACTGTGCACCCCAGCTCCCCTCCAGGCTGCACTTTATGCAGCAGGTGGGTTGAAAGCCTGCCAGTTGAGCAAAAAGTCAACAACTATATTGGCCTTGAACCCCTCCCCAGGCCTCCATTTCCTATAAATCACTCGTACGTGAGACACGTTATACCCTAGCAAATGCACACTGTGCTGAGTAACAGGGCGCAGCAGTCTGGCTGCGGGCTGCACACTGGCGCTGGAAGGCTTCAGCACTGGAACCCACTCAGGGCCGCCCCAACCCACAGGGCCGCTCCGCGGGCAGCACAGTCTCGAGTGCAACAGGGGTAGCAGAAGCATGACACTAAACTCGTTTTTCCTTTTTCACTTTGGTTGAAATGAAATAAATAAAAAGGTAACAGAAGATATTAACTATCCTTAAACTATATTAATTCAACATATATTAGATTATCAAACTGAATTTTTTTAGAAAGTTTACTACAAAGCACTTAAAAACAATTTTGAAATTAAAACAAATCAATATAAGCCTACTAAATTCTTTTTTCTTCTTTTGTATTTTAGGGAGGGTCTACAGGGTGTTCAGGGTTTCACTACTATATGCAACTCATAGTGATCCACCTGTTTACAGCCTCTCAAGAGCTGGGATTACAGGAACGCGCCACCACACCCAGGCTCAACTGCTGTCTCAGCATGCCCCGGGGTGGAGCCAGCATGGCAGGCCTGGGGATCGAACCCCGGCCCCTGCACCTGCTTGCAGGAGCTTTAATCCACTGAGCTATTTGGCCAGCCCAAGGCTACTGAGTTCTTATATCAATAAATTTTTGTTTCATTGGTACCAGGAATCAAACTCAGGACTTCACCCTTGCCAGGCAGGTGCTGTGCCCTGAGCTATTTCCCTGGCCAATCGATAAAGAAAGGTAATGTCCTGCACAGTGAAACACACCAGAATATGGCTCATACTTTCATCTGCACACAGGCGGATGCTGGATGCTGAGACTGGAGGCAACCACACCTGCGTGAGCCTGTCACAGACATGTGCCACCCCTCAGAAAAGACAAATGACAGCGGGCCAGAGACCAAACGAAGTGGCCTAACAGTGCTCACTTACCTGCTTCTACTCTTGTCCACAGGGAAGATGCGGATAGATTTGTCGAAACTGGCAGATACGAACTCCCTCCCCGTGGGGCTGTAGTCCACGTCAAGCACAGCAGATGCGTGGTCCATGTGCACCATGACGGGGGTGTCCAGAGCGCGCATGTCGAACGTGTACAAGCTGTGGAGGTTTGGAACACCTGGCGTGAGTGCTGAGAAAGACGCCAAGAAGATCCTCGGCTCAGATGGGACAGCCACACGACCAGCACCACTCTACACACAGGGGGCCAGGAAATGCCAACCGCTGTTACTACGTCTGCAGAGCACACTCACACACGCACACTTTCCTCCCTGTGAACACAAGTTTCACTGAAAAAAAACCCAAAAACACTCATCAAAAGGACAGTATAAAACTTTTTTTTTTTTTTTGGCGGAACCGGGGATTGAACTCAGGCCCTTGAACTTGCCAGAGAAGCGCTTATTCCACTGAGCCATCTCCCTGGCCCCGACAGTATAAAACTTAACTCCACCACCCAGGGAAATTGTTAGTGCAATGTAATAAAAAAACATAAAAATCAGGGGTCAAGGAGACAGCTCAGCGACATAAGTGCCTGTCTGGCAAGCGTAAAGTCCCAAGTTTAATCCCCAGTATTGCAAAAAACCAACCAAACAAACAAAATTCACTGTGTTATATAATTTTTAAAACTTCTATTTATTTATTCAACATAGGGTTTCACTACACAGCTCAGACTCTTAGTGACCCTCCACTCTCAGCCTCCTCAGCACTGGGATTACAAGGCTAGCATGGCATGTGGTCCCAGGGATCTAACTCGTGTCTTACGCTAGCTAGATAGGCACGTAGACTACTGAACTATCTCCTCAGCCCTCAAATGTATTTTTCAAATAAAACTGAGACTACTATACAAAGCTTAGTACTGTGATATTTCAAATAGCATATAAGCCTTACTCAAATTAATGATCTTTGAAAACATTCTAATAACTACATATTTAACTGGGTTAGAGCAATTTGGCTAACATTTTACAACTTTATTTTTATAAATAATGTTTAAAAAATCTTGACATTTGAGTTTTTAACATTTAATTTTTAATTGAATGAGAAAGATTAGACTAAATCTGAACAGATTCCTCTAAATGCTTGTCAGACCCACAGGCCTGGGCACTGTCAAGGCCCAGCCTGAGCTGCAAAGTCACTTCCAACAGTCTTATTTATTTATTCTTCTATCAGTGATACATTAAAAGTGAGCATAGCTTTTCAAAGAGTATGCTAAATTTGAAAATTATATCTTACGTAAAATTGATAAAAACAAGGCTTTGTGGTTGAAGATGTAAAAATTCCTAATCAACAGCTAAAAACAGTATTCCAAGGGCCAGCCACATAGCTCAGCAGACTAAAGCGCCTGCTTAGTTGGGATTCAATCCCCGGTGTGGATTGGGCATGGTGGTGCACACCTGTAATCCCAGCACCTGCGAGGCTGAAAACAGGAGGATCGCTGCAAGTTCGATTTATGTAGTAAGATCCTGTAGATTCTGTACTAATTAAAAATAATTTTTAAAAAGCTAAAAAGGGGCTGGGGAGATGGCTCAATGGAATAAGCGCTTCCCTGGCAAGTGCAAGGGCCTGAGTTCAATCCCCGGTTCCACCAAAAAATAAATAAATAAATAAATAAATAAATAAAAAAAAAGCTAAAAAAGGTTTTCCGAATTAACTAAGATAATACAAAAGTAAGAAAACAGAGCATCATTACAACCAAGTTCCTCACATCAAAATACTTGACACCACTGGGAGTGTAACTCAGTGACACAATGCGTGCCTAGCAAGTGTGAGGTTGTGAGTTCAATTCCCACTACCAAAAAAAAAGAAACAAAATACTTGATACAAAGCATACTTAGTATGAAACTGGAATATCTGCGTAGACACACAAAAACTAACTACATACAATGAAAGAAAGAGCTGGCAGACATCACCTTAAGTGCAGTTATCACTCTCGATAGTAAAACCTACTGAACATAATCACCACTCCCCCAGAGGCTATGGGCAGGGTGTACCAGTTCTGTGGTATCTTACCCAATACACCACACCTCAACCTAGTAATAGGCAAACATTCACTAAACCTAATCTAAGGCCAGCAAATAACTGACACGGTCTCTACGAAAAGCACTGATGTGTTAGATCTGATGCTTGTGCTCTCCAAACTCCTGCTGAAATCTAACCCCCGGTGCGAGGCTGGTGTGTGAGGGCAAGGCTTCTGGCAGACTGAGGTCACAAAGGAGTGCACTCACGAATGCCATCAGCGTCCTTGTAGGAAGGCAGGTAGCTCGCCTGGCGGTGACTTAGCAAGCTCTGTTCTCGAAATTCAAAGTGAGCTCAGGCCATCTCCACCACACTCACAAAAACAACAAAAATGGATGCAGCCATATTTATGGCCTATACCAGAAACTATCCAACTTCTCCTATAAAGGGCTAGGTAGTAAAAATTTTTGCCCACAATTTTTGAGCCATAAGGTTTGTAATGGTCAATCTTAACAACTTGACTGGACTAGGAAATACCTAACACACAAATAAAGCGCACTCCTGGGTGTGTGTGAGGGTGTTTCCAGGAGACAGCATGTGGGACAGCAAACAGAAGGGAGAAACCTCCTCTGAATGTGGGTGGCACCACCCAGGCTGGGCCTGATGAACAGAGGCAGGAGGCCCAAGTCCTCCAGCACCATCTCTCACATTCCTGGCCACCATCACAAGGTGAGCAGCTCTCCTTGGCCATGCCCTTCCACCATGGTGCCTCAATGCTGCTACAAAACCAGAGCAGTGGCAGCAACTGACTATGGACTGGCCCCTCTAAAGCATGAGCCAGAATAACCTTTCCTCTCTGACCTACCACTCTCAGGCATTTTGTCAGACAATGGAAAACAGAGTGACACAAGATCTCCGTCAGAATTACTCAAGTCAGGCACTGTGGCATAAAGACAGCTAATCTATAAACAAAACAGGCTAGATGGATTCTGAGAAAATTTTATAAAAAAACAGGCAGGCGACAGGTGTTTGACACCTAACAAAACATCAATGAGGGGCTGGTGAGATGGCTCAGTGGTCTAAAGCACCTACTTAGAACAAGCTTAGCAAAACAAGGGACCGGGGTTCAATACCCCAGCACCACATGCCAGCCAGCCCCGCCCCCCGGTGGGCTGAGCTGGCCACACACACACACACACACACACACAAATAAAAAAAAATAAAAAAAAAAAAACATCAATAAGACATGTAATTGAACAAGTCCTGACAAAGGCTTTTTTTTTTAAATTACTGGAAGCTGAACTCAAGATCTCACCGGGCCACAGCTGTCCCCGGCCTCAAATGTTCTGCTTTGACACAGGGTCTAAGTCACCTAGGTAGGACTCCTGTCTCAGCCTCACAAGTGCTGGTTTAACAGGTGTGTGGTACCATGTCTGGCTTAGACATAAGATTTTAAAAGAGAGAAACTTACTTATAATCTTCATTTGCTGCAGTGAACGTAAAAGCTTCCATGGGGTTCCAACAGATTGTATTTGTTCTCATATCTAAGATAACCTGGGGAAGGAAGCATACGTCATCCCACTACCCTGACAGCAATTACCTCTGAAACACTCTCCACTTCATCCTGCTACCTTTCTTCACTGATATGAGAAAACAGTTGCTAAGTATCTAGTATGTGCACCACACTCAGAGCAATGAAAAAACAATACACTAAAAATTGTTTCTTGAATAAAACACAGGTAGAATGGCAAATTCCTGGTCACGAACACAGGTAGAATGGCAAATTCCTGGTCACGGAATTTCAAATAGCTAAGTGTTTAGTTTAAAAAAATGAGACATTTAGAAAAGATAATGTTATGGTTTGTGTCTAGGTGTCCCCCCAAAGCCTCATACAGTCTTGGGGCAGCTTCAGGAGTTTGTGATTGATTGTTGTGGGTGTGGATCCTGCACCTGCCCTGGGCAGGTAATTTGCATTACAATGTAAGGAAGGGAGAGAAGCTAGCTGCTGGAGCTGTTGCCACTCTCTCTGTGCTCTTGCTCTTTGCTGCCGCCATGAAAGGTTGCTCTCTGCCCTGTGCCACTCTGCCTTGGACCCGGCTGAATATGGACTGAAACCTCCAGTAACTGTGAACTAAATAAAACTTTCCTTCCTTCATTTTGAGTGTTGGGTATTTGTCCCAGCAACGCGAGAAGAGTAAGACAGGTAACAAACAATACAGCAATAAATTATGAATTATCAAATTAGGGGCAAAATTAATGACGGATGAGCTTAGGGTTACGGTACAGATGAAGTGTTTCAAAAGGCAAGTAGGAGGTGAGCTACGTTATGAGACCTGGTGTTCACGGTGCCTCTAACGCAATGCTGCAGCTCTTTTGGGAAGGACAGCTGTTCTATTGTATGTGAAGGTCTACGACAGGATATGACACTCTCAGAACCCCTCTCATATTTACACTATTCTTTATGGGAAAGAATTATCCCAGTGGAGAACATACTTAAGAAAAGGTAGAAGAAAAACATGCCTGTAATCCCAGCCCTGGGGAGGCTGAAAACAGGAGGATCACTACAAGTCCAAGCTGTGTAGTGAGACCCTGTACTAAATACAAAAATGAAATAAATAAGTAAAAGAATCCTGGGGAGGGGGTGAGAAATTACCACTTATTAAAGAAATATTTCATGATGGCATTTTGCTAAATGTATCATGTTTTATTCTTACTGATCTGATGTAAGGTAGTAAATTACCCATTTACTTTTAGGGTTTTCTCAATATACCACATGAATGAGTCAACTCAAGTAGGACTTTAGAAAGATTATCCTATTTACCTATTTCAAATATCAACAAATCATTCAACTTTCAAAACTTTGAAGACCACTGTATGTTACAAAAGTTACTCTGAACAAACATCATGGAAGCACTTCTTTTAAAGTGAACTGGGACAAGGGACTCAGTAAGTGGTGAGACCCAGCCTTCTCGGGCCCTCACAAGCCTAGAGCTTGAAATGGACTTTCTACCTGCTTGCTATGATGGCACAGGAGTTTCCCTCCCTTCTGAGAGTCAGCAGAAGGCTGCATCAGTTTGGATACTGACTTTTGGAATGACCATCTTAGAACAGGAAGTCTACCACTTTGAACCACACAACACCTGTTTAACAAAATACCAAACTATTACCCATCAGTATGTAATTAAACTAATAAAGCCGTTACGTGAGTTTTAAAACCTGGAAACAGAATATTGGAAATGTCCTATAATAACGGGGCCAAAGAATTATTACATTGCAAAGTAATAAGGTACAGTATCTTTTGCTGAACAATTTGCAGTAAGTACTAAACGCTTAAAATTCATTGGCATTATGGAAGACACAAAGAAACTCATGGTTCTCTCAAAAACAAGGGGAGCTGAGAGATGATCACCACCTCTATGAAAAAAAGATTAATTCTGCAAAACACTCATTTACAGGGGAAAGCCCCACCAATCATATAAAACCCAGGCTAAAGTGAAGCTCACCTTTTTGAGGGGAGTAGCTTGCCTCATATCATACAGCACTATGTTCCTGTCAGAAGCACAACTTCCCAAGAGAGAAGTCTGAAACACAAGATAAGACAACCACAAGTTAAGAGCCAGGCATGTGGCAAACCAGACCTACTTCATGCACAGGTTTAATTAATACTTGTACTTCAACAGCAAAAAAAAGTCCACTTTCTGAAGGTAAAATAAATGATTCGCAATCTCAGCAGCCTGAGTATTTTTATTCCTAAATCCCCACACGTGTATTTGAGAGGCCAGTGATCACGCACAGATCATAGTACGCGCCCGTTTATTTATTTATTTATTTATTTTAAATTTTTATTTATTTGTGTGTGTGGCCA